CACAGAGGCAGAAATGCCCTTTTCTCCATTTGCTCAAAAGGGGAAAGTGAGACCCAGAGGACATCATGGCTCATCCCAGGTCAAAGGGCAAGTCAGTGCAGTGGCAAAATAGGAACTCCTGCTCCCATCCCAGGTTCTATGACCTTTGGCTCACAAAAGCTGGAGGGTGTCAGTCCCACCCCCAACTCGGGGGGGGGGGGGCACTTAAGCCATAGCTGGCAGCTGGCAGCCCCAGTCCTAGCACACAGCTGGAAACACCTGGAATTCAAAAAAGAGCCTTCACTTGTAGTCAACCCAGTGGGGGGTGGGGGGGGCAGAAGTGTTAACTCTTCCTTGGCCAGCTGTCCCTGGTTGGAAAGATTTTGGAGGCTCCACTCACACCGTGTTCATTCCTGGAGCTCCTATGCACTCTCCTCTATGTTCTAGAGGCTCCTGCAAGTTGAGCTTTTAGGGCCCCCTCTGTGCTTGGCGTGGGGGGTGTTAGATACAGGTACCCTGGACCTCACCCAGGGGCTGTGTCACGTGAGCAGGTTTCAGTGCTGGGGGAGGATGGGTGTGGACCAAAGCAGCAACTGGATTCTTAGATGTGTGATGACCAGACACCTCTGTGACCTTTGCCAACCTCATCAGCGGGTGCTGCAGTTAACAAGAGTCTAGACTCCCATAAGGAGAAGGTGAGAGCACTGGGTGGGAGCTCAGGAGCCCCTCCACAGCTCTTTCTTCCACTTTACTCTCGAAGAGCCGGTTCATCGTGTGGGGCAGAATTAGTGGGGACTGGAGAAGGTAGGCTGGACAGGTGCACAGCCTATAATTCCCTTGGAAACCCTTTCTTCCCCTCTAGAGTTTGGGGAGAGGCAGTCTTCCTAGTCTCTATCTCTAGTTTCAGAAACACCCCAACCTTGTGCCCTGCCTTCTCTCAAGACAAGGCCTGCCCAGGGAAGCAGTGGGTACCAACCTTTCAGCAGGTCCACAAACTGGAAGTCGAAGGGGATGCCGTTCTTCTTGGCGAAGATGTAGACGGCGCGACAGGATGCTGACAGCAGGTCCATGTAGAGCTCTATGCCCATGCTGAGGCCAGTCCTGGGCCCTCACCAGCCACAGCCAGCAGGCCCTGAACCTGAGCCTGTATGCAGCCTAAACCCCTGCTCCTCTGCCCAGCAGCCCTCTCCAACCCAGGCTCAGGACCCCGCATTCTGGAACTTCTGTTTCACTTGGTATTGTCATGAGGCCATTAAACCTGGAATTCTCACAGCAGCAAGGATTCTGGGAGACCCAGGAGGAGGCTCAGGAGAGGCCCCTGGCTCAGGAATGGGAGTGGAGAGTAGAGGATTCAGGGGTGGCTGTGACTGCCCTTCCCCTCCCTTGGGCACACGTGTGCATCCACGGCCAGTGTGTGAAAAGGGCTTACTCAAGGGAATTCCCAGGGCCAGACCTTCATTGTGGAACATGACTAGAGGGGTTTTGCAGGGTCCAGAAGGAGGACAGATAATGAGAGCTAACCTTGGAAGGTTCCAGAAGCAGAGATTGAGAGTATTCACTGACCAATTGAGCCTGAACTATGGCTGGGAGAAAGAGAAACAGACACTGTCAAAACGCTGGGAACAATGTCACAGAGGAGTCAAGGGGCGGCCAGTTAGGCTATGCTCTGCAGAGGAGCCCAGCAACTTCCCGCTGAGTTGGGACCGGCAGTGGCCAGGCCATGCACCTGGGGCTTAGCACCTGGTGGCTGAAGAATAGGGACACTGTGGGGAGACCTGCCCAGTTGCTAGGAAGAATTTGGCCTCCAGGACCTTCCTGAGCCAGGTGTTACAGAGCAGGCACCAGCCTCCTCAACAGCTGCTCCAGCTGTGTGGTGTCCACAAGCTGCCTGGAAAAGTGGAGCAGGAGAGACTGGGCCGGGAAGAGAGGGCGCAGCTTATCTTGTGCTCCTCCAAGCTTTTCACAACACCCCCGCCCCACCCCCACCCCCAGCCAGCATCCATCAGTGATGCCCTCTAGGGCTCTGTGTTCAGGATTCTGAGGTTTCATTCAGGCCCAGGGGGAGAAGTGCTGGTACGGATTAGCAATGTCGCTCAGGGCAGTGGAAGGGCAGCAGTATATGGACTAACTGGTCCCTTCCAGCTCTGGGGGTCCTGGCTGCTGCCCAATCCTGCACAGTAGGGCAGGTAGGCTCACCTTGCAGATAGACATTGGTGGCAGGCAGCTGGATAGCAGCGTGCTGCCATGTCAGGTACTTGTCAACTCTGGTGGGTGCCGGTGTGCCTCCACCCGGTACTTGCAGCTCAGGTATACAAGGATGGCCATGCTGAGGGCAGGGGGTCAGAACTCTCCCACCCTGCAGGACTGGGCAGCTCTGCCTCTCACAAGCAGGATGATTTCATGGGATTTCCCTCCAACTCCACCTCCAGGGAAGGGTTTCCCCATTCCCACACCCTCCTCCAGGCGGCATCTCCAACCAAACTGCTCCATTCTCCCATTTCCAAACTCTGCTCCTCCCGGAGCCCTGCTTCAACCTCCTCTCCTGGAGACTGCTCCAGCCTGCCCTCTGCCTCCAGGCCCAGCTCTCTGGCCTCAGGCTCCCCACTCAGAGGGAGGAAGGCAGACCTGCTAAGGACACCCTCCCCAAGGGGTCTCCAAGTTCCTTTCCTGGGCCAGTTCTCCCTCGTTTTCAGAGTCTAGGGAAGGGGCTCGAAGAGTCCCCCCTCTTTGATCCCCCTTGGGCTCCTGGCTCTCAGAGCCATTTCCACCCTCAGGCAAGCTTCCTTTTACAGAGGAGCAGCCTGGGCCAGGAAGTTCTGTTACCTGCCCGGGGCACAGTGAGGATGTGGGGAGCTGGAATGTGGAGCTCTGTGCCACCCTGGGGCTGCCTGGCTCCTGTGGTTCTGAAAGGGCACGTTTGAGACATCTGGGAAGGCGTTCACCTCAAGTCTCGCTCCCGGTTGCCTGGGCCTGACTGGGTGACTTGTGCCTGCTCCCCTCTCTGAGGCTAGCTCTAGCCCCTGCCCTCTGAGCTGGGCAGGCTGAGAGGAAGAAGGGGCTGGAACAGCTGGGAAAGAACGCCAAGCCAGGGGTTATCAGCTCTCTGCCTTCCCCAGCCATGGGCTCCAGACCAGGCAGAGCCTGGTTCTAAGCCTAGGCTGTCCCCAGGTCACTGTCACCTCTCAGCCCACAGGAAGCCCCCATCCGAGGGCAGGCACTTTCCCCAGGGGGTTCACTTTCAGGAATTGGGGACTCAGGTGCTCCCCTGGGAGGCAGAGAGAGGCTTAGCACAAGATCTGGCCCCAGTGCCCCCTCCATGGGCCTTCCTAGCTTCTGGGCTAACCCTGTGCCAGCTCCACAGGCTGCAGCTCAAAAGGGACGCCATTCTTCCTGCAGGCACCAGGACAGAGAGCTCAAGGCCATCACTGTGCCTCGGCCTGGCCTCGCCTGCCCTCCTCTCAGGACTGCCTCCTGGGGCTGGCTGGGCCCCTCAAAATGGGGCCTGGGGTCTGTGCCCTTCCCTAAAGCCTACTTTGTCCATAACTGGTTGGGTGCCCTGCCAAGCACTACCCTTCCTTGCCTCTCAGGATGGCAGCAGGTGGGGCTGTACCCCTGCTGGGGTTGGTCCTGGGTTTTCCAAAAGCAAGGTTCCCGGCCTGGCCCTCTTGTTTTCTCAGGACTTTGCAAGCCCACGGACACTCCCACTTTCTGCTCCCTCCCTCTGAATGGGCCAAACACCTCCTGGGCTGCCCTGACCTTTGCTTTGGACAACAGGGTGGCTTTCACAATCCTTCAGGTAGTGGTGATGCAGGCAAGCAGGCTGGGAGGAGCTGGCAGGCACACAGTTCAGGTCTTTAAGGTCTTCCCTCCCACTATGCCTGCAACACACACACACACCACCACCACCACCATCACCACCCCCCTACCCCACCCCACCCCCCCGGTCCAGGCCTCACCTGCCCACACAGAGTAACCATCCCGACATCCTGGCACTGCTCTCTCCACTGCCTTCCTCCAGAGCTCCCCACCTCCGGTATGCACCTCACACCCCATGAGGCTCAGGCCAGACCCCTAGGCGTCCTTCCTCTTCTTCATCCCAAGCCCACCTCTACATCACCAAGTGCTGTCACTCTACATCCTGCACCTCATGCCCCCACAGAGCCCCTGGCTGGCTTAGCCAACTTCACCAGACTAGCTGCCTTGCCCCTGCCCTGGGTCCGTGGTCCTGGTCCACACAGCAACAGAGAGGATTTCTCACGTCCAAGTCTGATCCCATGCTCCCTGTGCAACTCCCCCCGTGGCTGGGTGCCCCTCGCCCAGGGCAGCCACACTCCCGTCCCATCCATTTGCCTTTCGCCTGCACAAGCCTTCTTGGACTGCCCTGTGTGTTTCTCTTCTGTTAGGACCCAGATTTGGGGAGCTGAGGGCTGTGCTGTAGACAAGGCCTCCACGGACCCAGAGGACAGCTGAGGCTTGGCATCCGCACTGGCCTGTGCTGGTTGGGTGGATCATGAAGTGGGTAGCAAGCCAGAGACCCTGGCCCTCCTCGTCACCCAGCCAAGGCCTCCCAGGCCCCATTCTGGGACTCAAGAAGACTGGAGCCATTCTCCGGCTCTCTTGACCTGTGCAAGGGGGCCCTAACGCCTGCCCACTTTTTTCGCAGAAACTGAAGTTTGCCAGTGGACAGGGCTTTGGGGGACACTATCTGACAAACACATGCTCTGTGGCTTGGGCAGGACTGACTTCACCCTTGCTTTCGGGAACAGCACATAGCCCAGCCTGGCCAGCGAAGCGATGTTCCTGAGGGGCTGGGAGGACAGGCCAAGCCGCGGATACCATAGAACCTGCCAGCACAGTAAGTTATTTTAGTTAACTATGATGAAGTTTCCTGGGACATATTTTACTCCATACCCTATAATACAACAATGTAATAAAACCAACAATTCTTGGTTCCTTATCAAAGTGTTCAGGATCTTCATTATATTTAAAAGACCAATGACATTTGCTGACTTTTAGTTGCTTTATTTTTCTTTATGTTATTGAATTTTAGGAGCCTTTTATATACAATACATTTGGCGGGTTTTAACCCTCTGCTGATTAAATCTGCTACACCCCAGAAGCACTGCCAAGGACAGTTGCTGTCCTACCTGCAGAGCTAGCTCCTCCTGCAGTCAGATACAAGAGCCTGAGACCAGATGGAAAAGATGGAAAGGAACATGTAAGAAACAGCATGCATACTTGCTAATCTTCTGAATCCCCTCAGCCCTATCCCAGGCCCTCAGGGGATCCTGGAAATACGAAGCAGCATATAAGAACAGACTTCCGGGGGCGGCTTTGCGAGTTTGTTGTTGGTGGCCTGTTCCAGGATGTTCAAGATGGGGCCGTGGGTCTCCTGGCACAGATCAGCACCCAGGAAAGCCTCCACTCGCTGATGCCATGCAGCCAGTCGCGGCCGTCCCTCAAACACGTCATAGCCAAGAGCCACGAGCTGCGGGGACAAAGATGGAAAAGTTGGTGGGATATGGAGGTCCCATTGCCAGGAGCACTGGCACAGGTGTCAGGTCCCTTTCCCAACCTCCAAGCAAGGCCCCCGGCAGTGTGCCAACCTCAGGGCCCAGGAGCACCAGGAGGAAACCCCACCCAGGAGGGAAGCAGTAGGTCATGGCCAGAAACTTGCTCTGTGATGCTGGACAAATTGCTAGCGTTCTCCAGGCCTCAGCTTTGCTGTCTAACGGGGTGGCAATAAGAGGGATGCTGCCCACAAATGCTGTTCCACCAGCCAAGCTCACACCTGCATCAGCTCCTCCAGCGCCATGAGGTCAGCCAGCGTCACCTGCTGGCCAGTGAGAAAGGCCTTGTCCCTCAGGAACTTGTCCTCCAGGCGTTGCAGTGCCTGGTCCACAGAAGTCCTATTGCGCTTCACCTTCTCCTCGGGTACCTGAACCCCAATGAGTGGTGCCAGCACCTGACAGATGAAAAGCGCAGGCTCAGTCTGTGGCCCCTCCTCCCAGGCCCCTGACAGTCAACCACTCCCCAGACAGTTCTCCTGACCTGGGTCCACAGGGATACACCAAAGATGCTACGGATACAGTCAGCGTGCCAGCCCAGGTACTCATGGAGACGCACGCGGGCCTGCAGGTCAGATGGGTACCAGTGGTCTGCCGTCTGGTACTTGAAGCTCAGGTAAATCAGGATAGCCACACTGGGGACAGAGGTGGGAGCAATGGCTGTGAAGACCTTGGCTTGTGGCCTTTATCCCCAATTATTCCCATCCCCAAGTGGGGCCCTGGGGCTTCTCTGCACTTGATGGCCTCCCCCTCCCATCCCCAGCTCCCTGGGCACTGCCTCCTCCCCCTCCCCTGACTGTGCCCTCCTGAGTCTCCTTCTCTCTTGGGCACTAACTCTTGGCCAGACCTTGTATTTTGTACTTCAAGACCTCATCTCTGTGACAGTCCCTCAGCCACCCTATGAGGTAGAGATTCTTGCATCCCTTTTACACATGAGGAAACTAAGGCTCAAAATAGTTAAGTGACTTGCGAGAAGTTGCACAACTCAGAAAAGACTCCCTGGACCTCTGGAATCCTGCATGGGGCTGCCACCCAGTAGGTATGCAATCGAGTCCCTCACATGTTTGAGTGCTTGGGTGCAGGAGAGGAAGCATGTCCTCAGATCTGTTGCAGGTCCCCTCTGACAGGCTCCTCAGCCATCACTCCCGTAGTCCCTGACCCTGTGTCCTCTCCCTGCCTGGCACTGGTCCTCACCATGAGCTGTGCCCTCTAGGTCCTGGCAGATTCTGGGGAGTAGCCTGAAATAAGGTGAGGCCCTTTTGGCTAGTATTTGTAGAGCCTCATCCCTGTCCAATGCTGAATGAAAGTCCCCATGACTTCTCTTCTAGTGCCCCTGGGTGTGGGGAAAGGCCCTGGGGAGAAGCAGAGTCTGAAGACAGAGGTACAGAGGTGCTTTATCAGCCGCTGGTCACCCTGGACTCCCTCCAGGCCATCTGCTCTCATCCCACCCTGCACCTTGGCCCTCAGTGCTCGAGGGGTTGGGAAGGGCCTGCAGTGGGAGAGCCAGGGGCCAGTGGGCTGGGGGTGCTTAGGAGGTGGTGGGAAGCAGAGTACCTTTCACTCAAGACGAAGTCACCATCCTTGAGGGTGGGCACCCTCTGCAGGCTGTTAATTGGTAAGAACTCCTTGTTCAGATGCTGGCCTGAGGAGAAAGAGGTCAGAAAAGGCCTACAGGGCAAGAAGCACACCTGCCCTGCCCTCCTTCTCCCTCCCCAACCAGAGCCCCCTGGCCAGGCTGGTCTGGGAACAGCAGGGTCTGCGGGGACTGTTGGGTCTGCTCCACTTCTTGGGTGGGCCTCCCAGGCTGGGCATCTGGACCAGGTAGGGGCTGGCCTCCCACCCTGCCACCTCCTAGAGCTGCAGAGGGGCTTTGGTGGGTGCAGCCAGGTGCTGCGGGTGGGTGAAGAGAAGTTATTTAGAGAGGACTGGAGTGAAGAGATGATTCAGCTCTTCCCACCCCTCAGTTCTCACCACAGTATGGCTGTCTCCCCAAGTCTTTAGGGCTTTGTGAATTTAAATACATGCTGTTTAGAGCAGGAACTCTGAAAATCCAGTTTTCTCCCAGCCCACAGAGTAGAAGGTAATATTATGCCCTCTTTCAGAGAGGAAAAATAAGATTCAGAGAAGGCCTGTGACGTGTCCAGGGCCACACAGCCCAGGTCATTCTCCAATGGGAGACAATACTGGAGATGAAGGAGCTATGTGGACTGTGAGGACTGTGGGGGCGCTCAGGGAGGTGCCAGGCGAGGAGCCTGTGGGTGCACGGGGCCGTGGAAACCTGGGGAGCACGCCTGGGCTCACCTTTGATCAGCTCCACGGTGCGCAGCTCGAAGGGGATGCCGTTCTTCTTGGCGAAGATGTAGACGGCGCGGCAAGGCTGGGACAGCAGGTCCAGGTAGAGCTCCAGACCCATCGTGGCAGAGGTGGCAGAGGTCGAAAGAGGCAGGGACAGCAGCTCTGGATGAGGCATTGCTGGGATAATAGGTACCTAGGCCCCGCCCCTCTGGGGGCCTCAACCAATGAGGGGCGTGCCCTTCCGGGCCATCCTCCCAAATCGATCCTGCCCTCGCCTCCCCTCCCCCCCCTTCCCTTGGCCTAAGTTAAATAAAAATACTGTTCTGACCCGCAGTGCTCCGGGTCCCAGGCCGCGTGCGGGAGACGTGTTTACGTCCAGCTGCGAGTGTTGGGGGTTGCGTGGCAGCTCGGCTGGGGGTCTCTCTCACCGGATCCTGCACAGCCCGGAGGGTGCGCAGGTCGGGGGAAACACAGTGGAGGGGGGGGGGACACAAGGGGGGGGGGCACAGGGGTGGGGCACAGGGGGGGGACACAGTGGGGGGGGCACAGTGGGGGGGGGACACAGTGGGGAGGGGAAGGAGGGGCCGCAGGATCCTCAGCGAAGGCAAGCTGCCAGCTTTGGGATTGTTATAACCCAGTAATTCTCCATCCTAGAAGAAGGAACCTCTCCTGGGTTCCTTGAACCGAAGTTGTTTTTGCAAAAATTCTTGAAGAGGAAGGTATGCATCAGCCATGACCACAAGGGTACTGACCATGAGCTTAACTAATCAGGAGATGCCAGACGGGGCAATGAGACATTCAAGGCTGGGGTCTAGTAAATGTTAAGAAATATAAAATAAACAACTTGTGCAGCTACTAACTGCTGATATCCGCTTCTGTACACTAGTTTACTTGCTCTGCTAAACTCTTAAGTAACCCCTGTCCTATATAAACAACCCTCCCCCTGAGCTCAGGGCTGCAGTTCTCCTCGGTGTAGGTTGTCTGCAATCCCTGCGCAGGTAATAAAGCTCACCTCTAATTCACCCAACTTTGTGTCCGAGTGAGGTTGACTCTCCTGGGTTACAACATTTGAAGGCCCCAGCGAGATCAACCGCAAGGTCCCCCACTCTAAGGGGTTGACCTCCTCGGAATAGGCGGAGAAAGCCTCCACATCCTCTGCCTCTACATTCGGCTTTCAATTCGGTTTGGAGGTTTCTGTTTCGTCCTGGGACGTGGGTAAGGGGAGTCCCCTTTTGCTTGTTTGTTCCCCCATCGAGGCATTTGCATTTGGTGGTGATTGCAGGCGGGACGCCGCACCAACTGCCTCACCCTGGTCAGAAACAGGACGCTGTTCTCTGGCTGTTGTTTTGGTTCTGCTCTGCAGTACCGAGTTGGTTTGGTCACCCGCGGGTGTAGTGTAATTTTTGTCTGTCTGTTCGTGTTTCTTGTTTTGTGTTTTTATTGCCTTCTGCCTTCCAGGATGGGACAAGGAAATTCCCCCCCACCCCCCAGACTCCCCTGGAATGTGTGCTTGCTAACTTTTCTGATTTCTTTAAGTGCTCCTGTGACAATGAAAGCCTGCCGATCCTGGTTTCCTGAGAGTATTCTATGAACTTGAATAGCCTGCCTAAGGGGTTAATTGGCCACCCTAAGGTAGTTTCAATTTGCAATTGGCTTTTATGGTCCGTCAGAAAATATACAGGAGCCTTGGTCACCTGGAACAAATGCCATATATTGATATTTGGATTGATATAACTACTGACAAACCCAGTTATATTAAGAAATGTCAGTGTCCAGAGGTTCAAATGAAAGGAAAAACAGTTTCTGTTAACAATGCCTCAGCCTGCCCTGAAGGACAGTTAACTCCTCCCAGCCCCTGAGGAAATTCTATCTGGTCCTTCAGGACCCCCCTTGAGGATATACTAAAATGTTAATTAACCTGAGTGTGCCTACTTTGGGTTCTTATTACAGAAAAGCAAGAAGATGAATTTGGATCTGTTAATGATCTATTGATTTGAAAAATATATATTGAAAATATGAATATATTTGCCAATCTAAGGAATGTTAATTACTTGTACTTGTAAAAAAAAAAAAATGATGATCGCCCTGGCCGGTTTGGCTCAGCGGTTAGAGCGTCGGCCTGCGGTCCTGAGAGACCCGGGTTCGGTTCCCGCTAAGGGCGTGTACCTGGGTTGCAGTTTGTCCCCTGCCCTGGTCGGCCGTGCGGGTGGCAGCCACTCGGTGTGTCCCTTTCACATCGATGTTTCTCTCTCTCTGTTTCTCTCTCTCCCTCCCGCTCTACCTGAACAAAAAAAAACAAAAAATGATGATGATTCTTTGCCGCTTTCTCCTGCCTGTTGGCAAGAAAGGCTTCTCTCAGAGCCTCAGTTGTTATGTCCCCAATATCTGAATAGATATGGATATATTCAGATGTACTGGCTTCTTTGTGGTGAGGTCTCAACGCCGCTCTGCAAGGCTTATTAACATTCTCACAGGCAAACTGTTTAACCATTGAAGTGCAGCGCGGTCCAGCTGCAGAAAGGGCATATTCTTTCCATGCCAGCCTGGGATGCTCCTCCGCAGCGGGTTTGGTAGCAGCTAGTTTCCAACAGGCTTCTCTGAACTTTAGGGAATTGAATGTAGGGATCCCAGGCACGGGTGCGAAATGCTCTTAGAGAGTTAAAAAACACTCTGCCCCGCCTAAACATATGTGTTAGGACATTGCTCCCCTTTCCTGCGTCCTTTTGTAAGCCTGGGGTCAGAGGAAATATTCCTATTCCTCTGCCCATAGTGGGACCCAAATACTGTCAGGGGAAGGGCTTCCTTAGACACTTTTCACCGTGTTCTCCTGTTGGGCCTATTGGCCCAATTGGCTGAATTAGCAAAGGTAATAGTAGCAGATTAAAGGGAAACAGGACACACGGAACAGGAGGATCACCCTAGGAAGGGAAACATGAGGAAGGGTCAGGATAGCAGGCCTAGGTCCCAATTAGGGATAGAAAAGACAAGAGCAAAGTCAGGTGTAGAGGAACAAAGTAAAAAGCCACCCTTAATGTAGAAAAATGACAGGGTTAGGGCTCCTTCCAGCTGAGCTCTCTGGAGCCCAGAATAATATAAGACAATAGGAGACAACCTAGTTAGTTTCCTGGTAGACACTGGTGCAGCAGACTCAGTCTTGACCGAGCCATTGGAGCCCTAACCTACCCCTGGACTTCAAAGAGGACTATTGACCTTGGGAAAAATACTGTGGCTCATTTGTTTCTGGTCCTGCCGGAGTGCCCATACCCCCTACTCGGATGTGATCTCCTCCAGAGATCATTCAATTGCTGGCCACTGCCACTCCAGGCCAGCCCCCGCATCAAGTTCCACAAGACACTGGCCATCAATCCTGCCAGCCTGCCTCCAGACGATGACCCGGAGAAACCTCTGCAGGATGGCCTGGGGGAAATCGGCACTGCAGATGGCCACCCAGACCTCAAGGATGACCCACTGCCATTATCCAATGAGATACTGTTCACGGACGGGAACAGCTATGTCCAGGAAAAAATCAGGTATGCTGGGACAGCAGCAATAACTCTGTTCCATGTCTTTAAGTAGGAAAACTTCAGCCCAATAGGCTGAACTCATAGCCCTAATCCAGGCTCTCTAATGAGACAAGGGGAAACCATGCTGCAAATAAGGAAGCTCAACATATGGCCCTAAAACCAGTGGGGACCTCTCTAGATATCAGTCACCACGCCAAACCCAAGTTTGCTTCTGACTCCTACTTACACTGGGTCAGAAAATAACTTAGCCAAGCAGAAACAAGCCACGAAGAAAAACAATGGATGGTAGATACCGTCGGATGGGAGGCTGTTAGTCCCAGCTCTAGGTTGGACTTTAGTCAACCAGCTGCACCGAGACTATCCACATAGGTTACACCAAGCTTACTGAACTCCTGAGAAACAGGCAATGTCCAGTAAGGTCACAGGGAAAAGGAAAAGGTAAAAGAAAACAGAAATGTGTGGGTCTAAGTAAGGAGGAGGAGGAAGAGAAAGGCTAGGGAATGTGCAGACAGCAGATAGATTGAGCAAGCTCTCAGGTTCATGTCAGGGGAGGGACTAAGAAAGTCACAGAGGGTCTGTATAAGTTGAAGAAGAATTGTATAAGTCACAAAGGGTCTATCAGCAAGCTGAAGAATTATAGACAGAAAAAAAATAAAAAATAAAATTATACAGAAAAATTTTTTAAAAAGGAACATACATATTACAAAAAACAAGACATTGAAAAAATACTCAAGAGGGGAAGACGATAGGACACTGAGAGAGGGAGAGCCTGCCCCTAGTAATGGAATAACTGTCTGGGATGTAGTAAAGGGAGTAACAGGTTTAGACTACTCCTGACCCTTAGCTCAGACAATGGCCCCGTCGTGATAGCAAAGATATCACAGGATATTTCTAAGGGGTTAAATATAAATTAGAAGCTCCATTGTGCTTACCGCCCACAGAGTTCCAGGCAGGTAGAGCACATGAACAGGACCTTAAAGGAAACCTTAACCAAATTTACTTTAGAAACCGGTGAAAACTGGACCACTCTGCTCCCCCTCGCTCTCGTACAGTTCTTGCAGGCCCTGCAGTCTGCCCAGAAGGCCATCCATAAACACATCTGCGATGCCCTGCCTGTTCCCACCTCGAACCCTGTGCACCCTTTCCAGCCCGGGGACTCAATATAGGTAAAGAAATTCACCACCCAGGGACTAATTCCGGCCTGGAAGGGACTACACACTGTCATCCTGCCTGCACCAACGGCTGTCAAAGTCAACAGCATCCCCATCTGGCTGCACCATTCCTGGCTGAAGGCGGAAAAAGCAGAACAGACGGTGCTGGCCTCTCCAGATCCCTTAAAAATAAGACTCTTACATTTATCAGGACTCTAATTTTTCTGATTATAACTATACAGGGGAATCTTTATAAATCTGGACCCCAGTAGAACTGGGAACTTAAAAATAAAATATTAGGGGAATCTTAAAAAATGTCACCACAAAGGGGATGTAACAACTCCATTCTGACCCTCAGTTACTACACATACACACCTTGGCAGACTTTTTAAATAAACATAAGGGCCTTAAAAAACCCAAAAAAATATATGAAAATAAAAGATTAATAATAGCCTTAGGA